TGGGCTCTAGCACTTAGATCATTAGAGATGAGTATTCCAAGGTCCTTGACAGAGCTTGGATCATCAACAAGGACTATTCAGCTTGTATTTTATTTATTTATTTATGTTTGCCAATATGTCAGACAGAGCATTTATTTGTTGAAATTTGAAGTTGCCATTTGTTTGACCATTCTGATACATAGTCGAGGTCTTTTTGAAGGGTAGCAGTATTGTCTGTGGTGTTGAATAGCTTTACATCATCAGCGAAAAGAACGCAGTTGCTCTTAATATGATCACAGAGGTCATTAATGTAGAGTATGAAGAGAGTTGGTCCTAGAACACAGGTACAGGATTTGATAGGATGTTCCCAATTTTGACCATTTGTTGTCTGTTTGACAGGAATGCTTCTATCCAGTTATGCAGGTGTCCAGAGATACCATAAGATTTTAGTTTTAGGAGTAGTTTGTCATGTACCACTGAATCAAAGGCTTTACAGAAGTCTATGTAAATTGTGTCTATTGCTTTGCCCTGATCAAGTTGTGTAATCCATGTTTTTGCAGTGTAAGAGTTGCAGATTACAGGATAGTTTTTTTCTGAAACCAAATTGTTTATTAGAGAGTAGGTTGTTTGTTTCTAAGTGGAGGATGATGGATTGGTTAATAATTGATTCCATGACTTTACAGGTGATGCAGCATAAAGAGATTGGTCTGTAATTTTCAACCAGGCTGGGGTCTCCCTTTTTGAAGATGGGGATGACCATGGCTAGTGACCATAGATTTGGCAAGGAGCTGGTCCTGAAGGATTTTTCAAAGATTATGCTTAGAGGTTCGGCTATGGCAGTGGATAGCTTTTTTAAGAAGTAGGCGCATATTCCGCCTGGTCCAATAGATATAGTTTTAGATTGCATAGTGCTTTTTCATCAATGTCTTTTGTAAAATCAATATGTATTAGATCATAGTAGTTGTCTGTGGTTCGACTAGGAAATACTGGGCATGATCCATTGCTGTTTACAAATATTGAGCCAAACTATGTGTTAAAGATGTTGGCTTTAATGGTGTCATTGTTGCAGTCTTTACCATTAGGTCCTTTCAGGGGTGGGATGGACTTTGAGTCTTTTAGTTTTTTTTTTTTTTTAAAAAACAAGTTTTATTAATTTTTAAAACACACAAATTATCATTATTCATTACATGTTTAAACCTTTTTCCATTGTAAATTTAACAAGTCAGATAAATTATGATTCTGTTTTAAACCATTTCCATATAACATACCAAAACCTCTTATTCAATTTCTCTTTACTTCTCTTTACTCTTATTCGATATCATTATTATTATTTCATCTGTTTCTTTCTGACTTAGTTACCATTATTCTCATTTTATATTTCTACAAGTTTTTACTAATTCTCCCCCCAAAAAAGACATATACACACAACACACAAAACATAAAAAAAAATCTTTTTGGAAAGTAACTTGGACCCAGGTGTCTCTCTCTTCATGGACTTCAATTATATTCATGCTCATCTTACAAATCATTACTTATTTTATTTACCATTCTAAGCCTTCTATATTAACTTCTCCACATATTTCACACTTCTTAATTCTACCTTAATTAATCATCTTAGTTTGAATCATTATATTTGTATCTTTTGTCCATTTTTTATCATCCCTTTGTCTCATTCCTTATGAAAAAAAAGAAAATCAGTTTCTCCTGAAATCATTAATCAGAGTATGATGCCTTTCTATCTCCCCCCTAAGTTAATCAAATTAATCTTTAAAATAATATCTAATACCCAATCAGATTTTGCTTGGTACATTCTATCTAACTAATACATCCAACACAATTAAGTGCATAATTAGACAATAAATCCAAATATTAAAAAAAAATACTATAATAAAAATTTTATAATAACATCAATACCATAATTTTATTAAACTCTTTAATTAAAACAATATTCTAAACCTCTCCTATTATTAAGTTTTAAAGCCAATCATTTTTAAACATTTTAACATTTTAATCTCTTGTCAACTCTTAAACCATTGCAATACTACCATCTCATCTTATGTACCTTGCAAAATCTTTTTTTTTAAAAAAAAATTATACTTTATCCATTATCCATAAAAAATTCCTTTTTTTCATTTAATTTCAAAACATTGTAGCTTTTCTCCACCTTTTCCCTTTCTTTCTTCTCCCAACAAACCTTTCTACCCCCCCTTCTTCTAGCCTCTGCCTTACCAGCTTCCCTTCTCTGTCGTATTCCTTTTCCCTTTTGTTTACTCTCATCATATTGGTTTTGCACTTTATTTTTCCCTTTCTTAAATGTTTTTTTAGATCTTAAGTCCTTAAGTCCTTTAGTTTTCTTCTTTTCTCTTCTTTTCTTTTCTTTCTCTCTTCCTTCTTTCTGGATCAAATTCTGAGATTCATTAAAGATGGCTCCTTCCTTTCTTTCTTGTTCCTCTGCTGTCTTCATCTGTTGTAATGTTTGTTGATAATTAGTAAGCGCCATTTCTAAGAAAAGGAAAGCTTCTTCCACACCATCTTTACCATTTTTTTTTGCTTGTTCATATTCTTTTCTTAGTTCCTCAACAGAAAGAGCCATTATAAATCTTTTCTTTTCTTTTCTCCTTCTTTCTTCTTACAACAACCAGAATATTCAAAAGAAAATAAAAAAGATAAAACAGTCCCAAAGTTATCAATCAGTCCAAACCAAGGCAGAGTTCTCACTTTCTCCTTCTGGGGTAATATCAATCAAAGAGAAAGAAAGTCCAAATCTGTTTAAAATCTTATTACAATATATTCTAGTCTTCAAATCCTTAAGGCATCTGCTCCAACAAAATCTTAGCATACAAATATTTTCTTTTTAATCCTCTCTCTTCCCACTCATCGCTTAAAACCAATTTTCACCTAAAAAAATAGGTTTCTTAATATCCAGTTATTTATTCCGTAGGAAAAGAGGGAAAGCTATCCTTTCAGCACCTTCAAACAGCCGCTTTTTTCCTCTTCTGGCAGGTATTATTCAGAAAGTCATACTTTTCAGGAATTTTATTAAATATGTCTTAGAGTCCTAGGAGCCAAGAAAAACTTTCTCCTCTCAAGCACTTTCTCCACTTCCTCCTGCGCATTCTTACCCGGCTGCCAGCTTCTTTGTGGCGGCCATTACGGACCGCCGCTGCACCGTCCTGGGAAAAGGGGGTTCTGCCGGCCAGGGAGGGGGTCTGCAACACCCCCAGTCCCTTCTCCGGATCCCCCCTACCTTCAGCTGCCCCTGCAGGGCAGCCTAGCTCCGTACCCGTCTGGGTCGGAGCCCCAAAAACGGCTAGCGCGGCAGGGATCGCGCAGCTTCGCAAATCCCTGCCGCTCGCGAAGCCGACAAACCGGAAGTCGAGTCTTTTAGTTTGTTGTTTATAAAATTGTAGAAAGCGCGGGTGGAATTGGTGCATAGAAGGTTTTCCTCTTGTTTAATGTGATAATTGGTGCATTCAGTGTTTATCTGGTGGCATAAATTTTTGTATCGGCTTTTGAAGTTGGCAACGAGACCAGGTTTGTTTTTTCGCCAAAGTGATCTCTTTTTGGATTGAAGCTTCCTTATTGTTATGGGTAATCTGTTTTTTTCTGGTTTTGGGAGTTGTTATTCGTACATATAGTTTGATGACTCCTTTGACTTCAAGTAAAAATATGTTGTAATGGTCTTCAACAGTATTGCATCCAGTGAATAGGAATTGCCAATCAAGGGATGAGAGATAGTTGTCTATAAGATC